CAGCACGCCCCCCAGCCCCGTCAGCGGGGCCCCCTGGGTCCAACTGGGGACACGTTAGAAAACAAACCGGACCAGGTAGCACCATAGGGACCAGCAAGGGGGTTTGTTGGGTGCTGAGCTTTCCTGGGCCCTAGGGACTAACACAAACACGTAGACGGGCATCGTGAGCTTCCGGGGGCACAAGCCACTTCTTCAGCTGAACGGAGTTCAAGGGGTGGGTGCAGTTTTCAAATAAACAGCACAGAGAGCAGATGGGGGGGGAGAGGAAAGGGAAAGAAATGATCAATTAGCCTGTCCATGCTAAATGAAGCTGATAAAAGTGCTAAGTACTCTCTTTGTTTGTATGTATGTCCTTAGGATGTGGAGTACAGCCGGCCATCCCGCCAATGTCTTTGTTGAGACTGTTGTAGGAATCAAACCTGGAACTGAAATTAAGTTCTGTAGTTTCCCGTGGAGCTGGCTTTTGAAATTGGTTTGAAATAATACGGTGACTTTGAAATCCATTAATAAGGCCCCAGGCAAGTGCCTACTAGATTTTCTCTTTGATGCTTCACCCTTTCTGCTCCTTTGGTTGTAGCAATGGAGGGACTAGCCTGGACAGCCCTATCCAGCCTCAGGGGTTGGAGCACTGTATCATCCAGCTCTGTTCAGAGCAGGTCTCCAACACAGAGCTTTGAAAATGCACGTTTTGCCTACGCTTGTCCCACCCACTGCCCCAATCTCTGGGAGCAGTAAGAGATTAAATTTGTAGCAAAAAGTTCCCAGTGTAGACAAGCCCTTAGAGATCACTTCATTTTTCACGTGCTCCTGCAGTACGGGAGTTAACCCTAGTGCTCCCGCTAACAGTTAAATGAGAGCAGTTTGGGACAGTGAAACTAGACTAATTAATTTCACATTTGTTTTTTAGCCCTTATCACTGGCTGGTTCTCTTGAAATATCTGCCTTATATTGGCACTTTTCCCCATAATAGCAGAGTATCAACCAAAAGTAAAATACTGGTAACAATATTTCTTCCTTCCCTGCTGGTAAGAAGCAGGATTAAAATGTTTAAGAGCAAGAGGGGACTCAAATATAAAAGCCTGAGAGGGAGGAAGGCTTCACTGAAGAGGTGAGGTTGGCATTTAGCTCTGAATGCAACAAGGACAAAAGCTTGCAAAGATGATTTCTATGGGCTCAAAAACCAGAAGGCAAAACAAAAATTCCTTTTTTAAACTCAGATATTTTTCAACCTTTTCATTAGTTTGGGGGTGGGGGACTGACTCATGATAGTTGAAGACTTGGGGTTGACAGTCTCGGAGCTGTAGAGGAAGAATTGTTCTATTAGGCAGCCAGATCCCCCTCTCCGGAGACCTTCAAGTAGACTCTGTGCTGAGCGAGGAATCAGCATACGCAGCAGGAAGATGTACAGTCAGCAACACGCATTGGCAAGCAGGTGAGCTACTTGCTTTCTGAGCTAGCTGTAATTTTGCTAGGGCATAGGACTCCATCCAAAGATCTACAATGGTCAAGACTAGACACCACAGAAGCACAGTGGCCAAGTCCGACAGGCAGGGACACGGTCTTCTGCCTGGTCACCGACAGAGGGGGTGGCTTTGCACAATGTGCTTGCACAAAGCAGCAGTGTTTGTGTTGCAAACATTGCTCGAGAATGTTTATTTGTTTAATAAAACTGTTTCCACTTGTTTTTTTTAATTTAATGGAAACACTCCAAACAAACTTTGACCCTTTTGTGTAAAAGGCCACCTTTCACCTTGCTCTTGGCTGTAAGATCTGGGGGAGAAATGTATCTGTGATTGTTGCTTTTAAATGTGTATGGCTGATGTATAATGTTCACAACTTTACATTAGATTGTAAGCACTTTTAGGCAGAGCCTGTCTCTTCCTAAGTATTTGTACAGCACACAAGTACAGGAGAGCCCTGATGTGATTTGCGGCTTCTGACTGCAATTATGATAATATGGAGAAAACCCAAGGACTAATATAGTGGTAGTGGGAAGTTCTGAATGCAGCATTCATAGAGCTGTGAAACAGGCCTTTCTACCTGAGAAAATCAGGCTGTGTTCTCCACTTACAAACAGTTACATCCAATTGAAGAACTACTGAAATCCCCTAGCCATTACAGCGGCATGGTCAGAGTCCGTGAGATAGATGTTACCGGTTAAGAATGACGTCTAGTATTTTATGATCAATCTATTTCATTTATCTTTTGACTGGCCCCAAATGCCAGGTTAATACAAAATCCCAGAAGGGCCCTGCTCACAGATCATCCCAGAGCACCTAAACTCCTGGGACTAAATTCATGCCTGGCATTACACCACCAAAAAGCAATGGAAATGGGGTTTGCTCTGAACCACCAAAGTGACTGGTTTTCTTCTATTCAGCAGTAGATGCCCCAGATGCTGTTTGCAGGCTGGTGCTGCAGCTGCTTTATTTTCTGGTGAGCTATAAAACCAGCCATCTGACTGCTTGGACTCATTAAGGATCCCATGAGACGTTTTGACAGGCAAGAGATGTTTTACTCTGTCCTGCTCGTTACACCCTGCTGTGGGTAACTGCATTCTGCCTCCTTAAGTCCCACTTGAAATTACTATTGATTGAAAAGTCCAGTTACGACTCTGCATGAGAGTAAGCAGCCATGTGTTAACTGCTTGTGTTGCATTACTGTTTATTGACAAACAACAACCGGGTTCCAGGACTCCATTCAGTAACATAGGGGCTGTGTCTACACTGACGCGATCTTGTGCCAAAGTGGCTGCTCTTGCGCAAAAACTTGCTGCCTGTCTATACTAGCCGTGTGTTCTTGTGCAAGTAAACTGATGTTCTACTGTATAAAATCAGGGCTTCTTGCACAAGAACTGTGATGCTCCCGCTCAGGAATAAGCCCTCTAGTGCAACTGTTCTTGTGCAAGAGGCCAGTGTAGACAGGCAACATGAATTTCTTGCGCAAGAAAGCCCTATGGTTAAAATGGTCATCGGAGCTTTCTTGCGCAAGAGAGCGTCTACACTGGCATGGATGCTCTTGCGCAAAAGCACTTGCCAGTGTAGACGCTTTCTTCTGGAAGAGTTTTTGCACAAGAACTCTTCCGCAAAAGAGTTCTTGTGCAAGAAGCTGCCAGTGTAGACGTAGCCTAAATGTATCACTGCCCCGATGTGGCATGCTTTGCGGTGAGAGGTGTCACAGGAAAAGTTATTGACTTATTCTTGTTACTATTAACTAAATAATGCTGGCTCCGATAATTTACCCTTATCCAGGCACTTCTGCACTCCCCAGCGGGCCACATGAGCACAAGGGCGAGCTGAGATTACCAGCGAGGTCATGCTGCAGCGCAGCTTCGGATGTTCTTGCTTCTTTTTAAAATGCACTCCCCACCACCATGCCCCCCGCAGGCACCCACAAAGGAGCACTGGTATAAGGGGATAACCTTGTGCTCAACCCCAGCGCACGCTGCAGCCACGCTGCAAGTCTGTCGACTTACAGAAGCACCCGATCTCCCAAAGCTCCTTGGGCCCGGAATTGTGTCTTCCTCCCTGTGTTGTACTGTGCTGAGAACACCGAGGGCACCCAGCAAATAAGAGTGTTACTAATGGAGGGGCTCAGGTTAGAGACACTCGGCTCCTCGGCTTCAGCCAGCCTCTCCCACCTTGATCCTGTTGCACGAGCAACAAGCTAACATGTTTTCACTTGTCTGAACTCCTGATCTTATGATAATTACCATTAATGGAAAATTTTGAAATGTACTGTGCTGAGAACACCGAGGGCACCCAGCAAATAAGAGTGTTACTAATGGAGGGGCTCAGGTTAGAGACACTCGGCTCCTCGGCTTCAGCCAGCCTCTCCCACCTTGATCCTGTTGCACGAGCAACAAGCTAACATGTTTTCACTTGTCTGAACTCCTGATCTTATGATAATTACCATTAATGGAAAATTTTGAAATCCAGACCTGGAGAGCCTCTTAACACTGTACCACCAACAGTTGGCAGAAGGGCAACACCTATTGAGTGACAGCTCTGTGAGCTGGCAAACCTGACAGGCCCCTGCCCTCCCCCCGCCCTTGCTCACACCATCTTCCCTCCCT